TATTTTTATTTTATTTTTTCTTTCCGGTACTCTGAGTTATACCTCAGTTTACCCTCAGTACTGCTATTTACTCTCTTTTCTAATCTCTGCTTCTCTCTATTAATGTGTACTGTAAATTTCTGAAATAAATAAATAAATAAATAAAGGTGTGGCTAGAAAGTCTATGAAATTGCAAAATGATGTCTACTGTTAGAGCTGGTTCTTGGAGAGATTTAAGCACTAATGAGATGTCTTATGGATCTCAGAGAAAGATTTCCGCCTTTCTGGACTCGTCTCACACCCTCAACTGGAAAGACTTGCTCTCAATGATGCCAGAATACAAGTACAAAAATAATTTTAATTTTTAACAATTATAATCATAAATAATCTCAGTCCTCTACAGATGCAGCAGTTATCCCAGCAGGAGGCGAGAGGGAAGAGTCCCACTATATCACTGTTGAGCCACATGGCATCAAGAGGTAGGACTGTTGGCCAGTTGTATGACTTTTGCAAGACACTTGGAATGAACAGAATATGTGAATTAATAGTACAAGGATTACAAGGTTCTATTACTGTATTTTAAGCAATTATTATGTTAATAATTATGTGTTTATTAAATATTTAGTATTTGGTAATATATGACAACACATGGTATTTTATTATTATTATGCTTTTTCTGTACTAAGAGTAACTATTATTACATGTAGTATTGAAAAACATTTAATAATGTTTTGGGTTGGAATTGAATCAAGTATATACATGTATGATTATTTTATTTTAAATTCACTTCTTCTTATTCTTAAAAAGGAACATCAAAGTAGACGTACCTTTGCCTACTCCTCATTCCACTCCTCCGTCAAACGGTTGACCATTTGTCCCTCCCCACCCTCCTCCTCCTCCTCAACCTGTAATTGTTGATACTCTACTACGTGAATCTAGCGATAATTCTACAAGTACTTCTAGAACCGACCAATCAGATCTTAAACCAAATGCAAAACCGTCTCTCTCTCCCCCTTCCTCTTCATCTCTCCACCCACCACTCTCTCACGAGACCACACCCACTCAGATCCTCTCGTACGAAGACGTCAAAAAAGCGACCGGAGACTTTGATAATGTTTTATTTTCTGAGGGTGGACATAAGCTGGGACAGGGTGGGTTTGGCGTTGTCTATCAGGGACAGATTAATCTTGGGGAAGGTAATAGGGAAGTCGCTGTCAAAGTTTTTGTCGATGATGTGAGTTTTCATAAAACAATTCTCAAATTTTACTTTTTTATTAAAATAAATAGGCAAATTCTGAAATGGTATTACAATTCAAGACTGAGCTACACACCATTTCAAAGTATGCACACACACACACACACACACTAATAGCTTGTACACATTATCATTATAAACTCTCCCTCTACTCTATGCCCTCCTGTACTTTCCCTTAGCTATCAGTTGATTTAAAATGTGTAGATTTGTATTTTAAAATGACATCATGGCTTGTTTACTGGTAATCCTCATAGAGTTACTTTCACTTTTCATTTCCCTCATATCAGTAACATATACATGTACATGTATTGCTATGAATATAATTACTTACGTATACATGTATGTATATTTAATACTTTGTATGCTTAGTTGAATGATACCGTATAGCACTTTACTTTGTAATGCCAGGCTTAAATGCGGCAGAATCCTTAAGCAATTTAGTAGCAAAAATCTTATCCAACAATAGTTATAACTCATTAAATAAACATTAATAATTATTAGTGGTCATGAA